TTTTGAACTTGGCTTATATAAAATGCTAAACCAGATGTATAAATAGTATTGTGGCTTGGTTGCGGCTTATGTAAGAGACGAACTCACACTGCACAAGGGCAAGGTTTTCCCAGTTCCATGATTACCATGACAACCAATAGAAAATCAAGGCATAAGTTGTGGATAAGCCATGATTCATTTAAACAAGCTCTTTGCATCTTATATAAGCAGTTCTCATATAAATGGTCCAGTTCGTGTCTTATGTAAGCTGTGGCTTGTGTAAACCATGACTTATTTTCATCGTATAAATAGCCAGGCTATTGCAGCAACCTTCAAATTAATAGCAAGAGTTTATTGTTCATAGCAGGTTAGATCAGATTATACTTTCTGATCAACATAATAATTTTAATGCCAGGATATCTTCCTATTCACAGACTGATTTGGAAGATTAAATAAGAAAATTAATAAACAAATAATTAATTTAAAAACAAACTAATTAATTTAAAAACAAACTAATTAATTAAGATAATAAGCTTTAATAAGATATCTAAAAGAATGTCTGATGCTGAGGACACGATATACAAATCAGTCAGTGTAAAATGAAGACTGCAAACTGCAGACTGGGGCTAAAATGCACACTGCTGCAGACCAGGGGTAAAGTGCAGACTGCAGACTGCAGACTTTTTAAGTATTATTTCCATTATTTTTTAAGTTATTTCCATTATCGCGTGCTGACCGTAAACAGAATCATTTATTCAGGCTAATTGCAGTGAAGTCTGCAATCCGGTTAGCCTGAATATCACTCCGTTTGACCTGCATGAATATCACTCCAGTTAACAGCCTGCATATAACTCAGGTTAGCCTAAATAACGCTCCGGTTGGCCTAGCCTGTTTACGATTAGCTCTCAATGATGGAAATACCTGTAGTAACACTGTTCAGTTAAAAGGTCTACAGTCTAGAGTCTGCATTTTACTCCTGGTCTGCAGTCTGCAGTCCGCAGCCTTCGTTTTACACTGACCAACATACAAATCAGGTAATTCTGCTCTTCTAACTCTATTGGCTTTTTATTTAAGTCTTCAAAACAAAGGAGCAGATAGAAATAATACAATGATAATTACATGTCTTACTTGAGGAGCAGACGGAAGAAATTCCTGCCATCCTACAGCTCCGTCACACTTTGTCCATGGGAGACCAAAGGCTACGTCTTGTAAAATGTTATGGAGATAATAGGAACTGAAATTGATCAGATGTCAATCAACTAACTCATTGAATAAAGTTTCAGTGTCATTTTTTTCTCATCCTGGGGTGTTCAAGCGCGACTTGAAAGAATTTACAGAGTTAGGCCCAGTTCAGAAGTCGTGCTTTTGCCGTGCCGAACTAAATTCAGGATTTAAGTTCGACAAAAGCACGGCAGAAGCACGGCGTCTGAATCAAACTTTTGCATTAAGTTCGGCAAGCAATTAAGTTCGACAAGCTCTGCCGTGCTACACGACTCTGGGACGGCAGTGATTCAGACGTTGTGCTTTTGCCACGCTAAACAAAATTCATAAATTATATTAATGTATTTGGCGAGATTGCGTTCCCACGGGGAGTTAGGAGGAGAATTGCTACGACTCAATAACGAGGCATCAGTAAATGCTGAATCTGGTTCGACTCTGGCACGACGTCTGAATCAGAGTTGTTTCTTTGCCGAGCTACAGTCGAACCAAATTGTAAGTAAGTTCGGCACGGCAGAAGCACGACGTCTGAACTGGTCCTTAGTCTACAAATAAGATCCGAATTCGAGTTTTCACAGGAGTTTTCATCATAATATGTATAAGCTTATTTACTCACATAAATTTCTACTCACAATGTAAGGCCTGCCGATTCTCTTGCTGCAAACTAATTAGGCACACTTTCCCATATTTACCGCGAGAAGCTGAAAACTTGAACCACTTCAGAAAGTTTCGAAAGATTCCTTCAGAAACGACAGGTCTCATGTCGCAGTGGCTTGTGGGACCGTTAGATCCTTGTCCTCGCATAAACAAGCTGTTAGGAACGTCTTACCGGATTGGCTGAGAAAATGATATACAAACAATAGTAACAATGAATATTCAATGAAATTGGAGGTTCTAGAGAGCTTCATGACAATAGTGATATTCGTTGATAAATTCTAATAGGTTGTACACGAACGGTTAACAAATTGCCGTCAGGTTTTTCTTCCGTCTTTCCTGTTATTGATCATCAATTTCGTCATAACATTGTCAAAACACGAGGCGTTAGCCGAGTGGATCCGCCGACTACTCTGACTTGATACCTTCAAAATAATTTACTTATTTATATATAAAACAACTCTGTGGGACAGTTTTGGTACCACGTGAAAGGACTTCGCAGTCAGTTCAAAAATGAGCTTTTCGAGGACTAGGCCCTAAGAGTTAAAACCTGCTGTTCAAACGTATTAATGAATGGTTCGAGAAGCATGGAATTAAGTTCATCCTGGTGACAAACCTCTCCGTGAAGACAGTGTTTTAAGGGCCTTTTTTCTTGAAAATTGTGCCCTTTACCAATCTTGAAAATTTGACAACATTCGGTTAAAACCCAATGGAGATATCGTTCTGGAAATATTGGTGATCTGTCTATTTGGTTATTTGGTTGAGAAATAGAGCTTTACAGTTTTACTTAGCTTCGCTCTCCGAGAGCCTAAATTAGCCCTGTGAACAGGGTTGGGGACAGAGGCAGGGGAGGGGGTATATCGAAAGGTTTTCAACATAAATGTTCCACTGAATACCCGAACACACACCGCTCATAGAAATGTTAACCAAGTTATAAGGGGCGTACAAGATGGTAGACGAAACAGTGTTCAGGACCATGATGCAAAATTCTCATAAGTACACATCTTTTAAGCTTTCCTGTCAAGTGTAATTAAAATGTGGTGAATTGAATCCATTTTGTAAGTACTTTTGAACTGAGCACTTTCTCACAGGTGGCAGTTGTCGGGGGGCGGCTTTAAATAGTCTATTATTATTATTATTATTATTATTATTATTTTATTATTATTATTATTGTTCCGTTAATATATGAACAATTAACATTTGATTGACGTTTGATTTCGTAAATACCTTTTGATTGACA